TAAAAAAAATTTACATATACCAATCAATATATGACATTAATTAGTTTTGATTTTCTTAGAATGTCGCACACCCCAATTGTCAATGGCTACTTGTATTTCACACGAAATTTCATTCAAGTTATTGGGATCAATAATTACATCATCTTCTTCATCATAATCATCTACTTCGAAGTTTTCATCTACATCTTCTTTAGTAAGTTCATCATTTTTATTTAATCTTTTTAACATTTTCATCAATCACCTTTTCATAATATTCTTTACACCATTCACAAGCCTTTTCTAAAAAATTATAACATCTGTTATGATAACCATGTCCACAAATTAGGATAATTACTACTGTAAAATAGTAATTATAAATCACGGGAAACTAACATATAAATCGGAAATGATTTACATGTATCACAAAGTGAAATTGGGAAGCGATTATCACGGAGTAACTCAACAAGAAATAAATCAGTCTAATTTATTAAATGTTACACTGATTAAAATGGCACACCAATAAAATAAATAGCTCTTGGAAAATATCCCAAATATTGGAGATATAAATATTCCAACATTCCAAAGTGTAATGGATTACCAAATCTCAGAATAATATTTAAATAAAAGAATTTTACATAACTCACATTGACTAGAAATTACTTGAAAATAATTCTACATGGAAGATTTAAATAATGTTTAAGGAATATATTAATTAGTATAATTAGGATTTCAAAGAAATCAGAGAACTAGATGATGGAACCTTTAACATGTATAAATACATTGTAAATTTCTCTTTTCATGTAATCTTCAGTTAGTTTTAACTTATATTTTATCTTGTAATAACAACAATATCTTAATAATAAAATATGAACATAAATATTTTTTAATTAAAACTCTTGCCAGTGGAATAATCCACCCACTTCCAAAACCAAATAAACCTTTCACTCCAAGACTTTACCTAACTGATTAATTACTATCTTACCAAGGGGACGCCTTTGATAAGTATAGTTGTGTATGTATTTTCTTTTAATTTTATTTCTTTATTTTTATTTAGATTAGGCCAATGCCTAAGAAGTGGAAACCCTAGCTAGGTGAGGTCAGTTAAGGAACTGAGCCATAAATATAATTACTACGTAATAGAAAGTATCAAGGCAGATACTTAGGATATTATAAATAATAATTGAGACATGCTGGCTCAGGCAGATAACAAAGGACTGCTGAGAAAACATTACCAGACAGGAAGTAACAAAACTTGCCCCACAACAGATTAATAGCTTGAGCACTATTACTGCCATAAAATAAAGAGAGTGTAATTAAGAAGTAAATAATTGGATACTGCCATAAAATGAAATAAATACTATTCTAACCAAATCAAGAGATTTGTGTGAGACACGAATTTTGATCTCACAGTACTATTTGATAAAACTTGCCTGCAATGATCACAAATTCCAGATGATGGTGTACAGGTAGTATGATAACCAGTTGGCAGACATTTTCTATCAACAATACATTCAAGTGATGCTAAATAATATTGTAGGAATTTTTCCTTAAAAGATCTCTCAATTAGATGCTCTGGAATTTTATAATTTTTTTCTTTATTATTATATATTATTTTAAAAATAGGATAATAAATAAAGTAGTGTTCCATGTTGCAATCCAAAAAAGGAAACGAAATGGTTGTAAAGGTGGTTGCAATCATTTTTATATGATGCAAAGATGGTAGCAACCATCATCAAAAGTTGCAGCCGGTATCCTTAAAATAAAGGACTAGTTTTTTGTACAAGAAATTCAATCTGATGTGGTTCATATGGATACTGATAGGTTTTTTTGAATTTATCAATGAAAACTGATTTATGAGAATCTAAATTTTTTAATCAAATATTAATAAAAAAAAATTACAGGATGATTATTTTCCTTCCAATAGATATAACCTGAAATTAAATGCTAATGGCATTTTGTTATAATTTTTTCTAAGCACAAATGTCCAAATTCTAAATATTGTTTCTAGATATTCTTCAAATTTACAAGAACAAAAAAGAATTGCATAAATGTCTAAAGTGGCTGGTATTATATTTTCCAGAAAGTCAAGTGCCATTATATATTCAACATCTTTGCATACATTCTCAAATTTACATTTTAAATTTTTTGCATACCTTTAGCAGCTAACTCTGATAATAAATTTATCCTCCAAGGTATAGGTTTTTTTGCTAATACTTTATTATCACCAAAAACATAATGAACCATTTTTTCAAAAAATTTATTATGAACAAGAACTGTTTGCTCACATGAATTCAAGTAAACATGAAAGGGACCCAGAGGCGGGACAAAATTTTTCACATTTAAATTATTTAAATTTTGATTTTCATTTTTTAATAATTTACTGATCAATTTTCAAAAAAATAATTGTCCAGGGAAGTCAGCAAAAATAGGTATGACATTTTATTAAGATATACTGATAATTTAGAAAGATTTGTGATCATCAAATATAATCCTTTAAAGAATGTAAATTTCCCTCCTGCAATCCTACAATACAAACATCATTCATTGATCTTTCTTCATGTTTCCCTCTAATAAGATCACAATACACATGTACAGTAAGAAGCTCCTTATTGTTAAAAGAATTAAATCATTAGAAATCCATTCCCTTTTTCTAACACTGTAGCTAATATCAAAAATTCCTTTATATTTAGTATTAAGATAACCTTTAATTTTATTTCCTTCAATATTGTTAGCATTATGTACATGGATTCCATTATTTATTGCTAATACTGGAGGATATTCAACTTTTTTAGATACACAACTAGCAAAATGTTTTACTGTTGATAATGATGTAGTATCAGGTCTTCTTTTTTCATGTATATCATGAAAATCATCAATATTAACAACATGAACACAATCTATCTAAAAACATAAATGAAAGACCAATTATTTTATAATTTGATTAATATATTAAACTATAGTAAATTTTCTATAAGGGGTTTGAATTTTTACAATTAAGAATGGAACAAGGATCTTTATTAGATTGAGTCATTTTAATTAAAAAATAAATTTCGTGAATTTTTTATTGACAATGCCAATTGTGTAATGTGATGATTTCAAATGTTGATCAAAATCAAAAGTTCTGATACAAATATTTATTTCGAATTATTAATCATAATTTTGTATTTGCTCAGTTAGGGATGGGGCGGTTTCACTGACAAATGGTTTGAATTCAGTTACCCCTGGTTTTTTTGGTTTGGTTTTTGGAACCATTCAAACCAGTTACACATGTTCAAAATGTGACACAAATAATTATTTAATAAAAAGGAATTCTATCGTTTGAAAATCATTGCCTTTCTTGGTGTTTTAATAAGGGGTTGTGTAATGTTGTTCAAAAAACCATTTAAACTGGTTCCATGAAACCAAATAAAACTCCCCCATCCCTATGCTCAGTTGACCTAAATATTTACTTAGCATTAGTAATTATTAATTAGTAAGCAAGCAATACAGAAGTTTAATATCAATAAGCATATTTTATTGGACAAAATAGAGTAAAAGTCATGTTATTTGTAATACCCTAAGAGGTATAAAAGAACTTGGTTTTAGACCAAGTTGGAATCATCATGTTCATAATAATCTTCTAATTATTAATCTAATAATTGATACCTTCTTATACCCCAATAATATTGTAATAATCATATTCTTGCTAACAAAATACATAATATTTACTCTAAATAACCCAACCTGTAAATTAACAATTAATCCTTTGGTAATTAATAAACTGACAGTGGGAAACCTTTGATCTAGGGATCTTTTCTCCAGACTTAGGGTTGCATGACAAAAGGAGTTTTTCCATATATAGCAACTTGGTAGGTTAGATTATTGCATATATTAGTTGAGATTCTGAGTCTCAGGTTTCGCATAAATATGCATATCAAGATCTCATGGCAGGGTCGATGTCTATAACAAAATATAACAAAATGAATTTCAGCTATATATGGTATATTTCTTTACAGTATTGATTGATAAAAATCTATGGTATAATTTTTTAATTTTAGGGAGATGAAACATCAGAATCAAATACCAACCATGTCAGAAATAACAATACTAGCAGTAATGTATGTATTCCAGATTATTGATTAAGAATATTCAATCTTCAAAAAGGGAAAAATCTAGAAGTACTAGTAGGTGAAAATTGTTGAGAAATGGCAAACCTTGAAAAAATAACTAGTGATCATGAAAAGATGATCAGGATGTTAAAGGATGCTAACAAGAGACTTGAACGGGAAATAGCTAACTCTTCAGAAATTAGTCCCAAAACAAAAGAAAAGTTCACCAACATAAACTTATTTGTAATTCAACTAATTGGTAAGTTAACCCAAATTCATTTTTTATACTTTATGCATATGTTATTATTATTACACAAAAGAATGTTTAACATTAATTAATGGATTAAAAAAAATAAATTAGGTTACTCAAAATTGAACTTGTTTGATTTGATATGGTATAAAGACTAGTGCCATAATCCAAAGAAGGAAAAAGTATGGTTGCAAAAGTGGTCACAAAGGTAATTGCAACCACTTTTTATATGCCATAAATACAATTACTACCATAATCATAATTTACAGCACCAGTCTTTAATATGGTACAAGGGATATTTTATCGGCTATGTAAATTTGCTTGAGTGTTGATACCATATTCACCAAAAAATGATAAAAGTGTAGATGATTTTATTATAACCTTACTAATATTTAGGGTATGTATATATACATTGTTGTTTTTTTCTTACCTGCACATTAAATTTAATTACTAAGCTATTTAACATATAGAAAGCTGTTGATGATTCTGCTAGAGTAATTTCTGATATTGATAAAGAAATACATAAAAGACACTTTTACTCTATAATAAGTGATAAAAGTAAACATCATAAAATACTTCCATAATGGAGATTCAAATATTGGATCATAAGAACAAACCTTTCCTAACAATGAGAAACGTTTCAAAATTTGATATTCATTTGAGCGAATTAAGTGAATTAGCTAAATCAAAAGCTTCAACAAAAAATTTAATAAATTTGATAGAATTGCTATATTTTATAAAAAATATTATTAAAACAATAATATGTGATAAAATTAGACTGATAAATGAGTTTGTTGATCAAAATATACAGAGTATAGCATTCACCACAGATTTACCATCGCCACCATCAAATAATAGTGTATTCACTACACTTAACACTCCTACATTTTAAAATTAGCAATTAGAGTTTTTATATTTGTGTAGTATATAAAATTAAATGATATATATTGTTTTAATTTAATTAATGTAATTTTTTATTAATTGGTTAATTGAGTTCCATCTCAACATTTGCAATACAATACAAAGAAATATTTTAAATCAATTTTTTTATTTTAAAAATTAAAAAATAATTACCATTGAATCAAGATAAGTGATTCATGTATATATTAATTAATTAGAAAAATATATCTCTACTAATAAAATTACCAAGTCAAATTTTTTATATATTTATTAAATAATCAGGAACATCAAGCAAAGAATTAAACAAATTTTTGAGCTCCCATTTTGCCCTTGGATCCACTGCTGGATGTTTATAATCACTTAAAAGATCACTTTCCAAACTGCCTAGATTATCTCTTAATGCTTCTTCTTCAAGGTGTGATATCTCCTCCTCAATTAGCATTTGTTTCCATTCACAAAGTTCTCTCTCCCAATGTTCAGGAGTTAAAATATTATAATATTATTACTTTCTTCATCTATATCTGATGAAATTGCAGAATCCTGTACATTTAATTCCTCAATAATTGTAATATCATCAGACTCACAATCAACATTTTGAAATGCAGAAGACCTTGACTCAATTGGTTTACTTGAATTAATAAATTGATTCTCATATTGTAACAAATCCTTTTTCCTTGACAAAAAATTAATGGAAGCTTGTAATTGACTCCAGCCAAAATTTTGTCATTATAAAAAAAAAATTAGAATAATTATGAAATAAAAAATAAAATTTTATAAATATAAAGCTTAGAATATAAATTCCAAATTATACTTACAGTCAATTGATCTAGTCTTATTGTATACAGGAACCCATTGAAGACCACATTCTCTCAACTGAGGCTGCGTTAACACAAATGCTGAAAAGTTTTAAAGCTACACTAGCTAATTCTCTGTAATCTTCTTCAATGTATCTCCAAAATTTAAATACATCATTGTTAAATTGATTATAGGTTTCATCATCAAATGGTTCAACTTTTAATCTGAAATCTTCAAAATCTAAAAGGAGTCTTGGTTTTTTTTGGTAGGACAGACGTGAATTGATTTTTTTTTTTTTTTTTTTGGAAAAACAAAATACAATTTATTTTTTGACAGAGTCCAAGGTGACAAAACATGAGTGTTGTTGTAGGATCTCCTAAAGAATACGTGTTAATAACTAACCAGAGGTACTTAATTGGAATCAAAACACAGAGCAGATAATTGCTGGGTAATTATAAGATTTTCATTGATAATATTTTGCTTTGCATAATTGTAATAATAACGTTAATATTAAATATATAATTACAAGATGTCAAGGCAATACACCACCATTTAAAAAGAAACATTTTGAGTATGTGATGTTCAATTATCGGAAATTGGCAGGCATTGAAGCATGCATGCTACCTTGAACACTTACATTCATACACTCGTTCCTCGTGTACACAAGGCTAATCTGACTTGTGACCCCTTGATGATACAATGATGCAACTGAATTCCAGGGGAGGGACGCAAAGCTCTGGAGTTTAACCAAGACTGCACCAATTGTCAATGATGCTTTCACTAATCTTCCAAGACCAGAGAAGGCTGCCATGTTAGACAAAAAGTCACCTGCAATGATCCCACCTCTAGGGCAAGGGTGGCTCTGTGGCAAAGCTGTTGCAACTCTGCTGATGAATTGTAGTGCCATGTAAATATCCAGATCCATCAAAGCAAAGAGAATCTGCAACTTGTTTCAAGCACAGGAGGTCACAATTCAGAGTAGGGTTGATGGTCCTGAAATTGTATTTGGACTTTGATGTTAAGAGGAAAGTTGTAAAATAGTGTTTGTTTTGTATAATAATCATTTTCATAAATTCTCTGTTTCTCTGATACTAACCAATTTATGATTTTGAATAGGGGACTGGATTGGGGTTTGCCCAACCGGTTCCCTGTCCTGTAGAGCATAGTGGAAGTTTGTTGTTACACTAAATGTTGTACAGAACTCATTGCTTCTGAAACTTCGCCAGTGTATAGTTGTTACCTCTCTAAATTGGAGATCAAGTTCGGATCAAATTCAAATCCAGTTTATCACTTACTTTTTATTGCCAGAATGTTTGCCATGTATTTTAAAGCTACGTTGCACAATATAAAAAATTAGTGTAACATTTCAAATTTCCACTATGCTCAGTTGCGCCCTATCCTTTTTAATCAAAAATATTTGATAATTATTGAACCAATCATTTAATTTTAATTGGCCAATCTATAATTGAAAAAAAAAGATGAATTCATTATTTTCAAAATTATTGTTCACAACAACATCATTATGTAAATTATCATCACTGCCATCACTACCACCACCACAACCAACCATACTCATCTTTGATCAACTAATTGCTAATGGCGGTAGAATGACATATGCCACACTGAACCAAGTTATGCGAGGAGTAAGAAAAAGTAAAATTAAAAAATCAAAATCAAAAGATTTAGAAGCCTGTCCACAAAAAAAAGCCGTATGTAATAAAGTTTACACCACAAAACCTAAAAAGCCTAATTCTGCTGTACGTAAAGTTGCTCGTGTCAAACTTTCAACTGGTAAAATCATTACTGCTTATATACCAGGTGAAGGACATAATTTGGTGAGTTTATATGTACGTAATTAAGTAATTAATTAATTAATTATTAATAATAATTTATTTAAATTGGCGTAGAGTGAACACAGTGTAGTTTTGGTTCGTGGTGGGCGTGTCAAAGATTTGCCAGGAGTTAAATATCATTTGGTCAGGGGAGCTTATGATTTTAGTGGAGTCCCTAACAGAATCAGTTCCAGATCAAAGTATGGGACCAAAAAACCAAAAACTACAGCAACCAAATAAAATAAAAACAAAATAACTGTTGTAACATTAATATGATATTTAGAAAATAAAAATCTTTTTCTGGCCAATCAATATTATAAATACAGACAGAATATAGAAAAAGTTAGCAAATTAAAGCTGCCCACATATAATTACAATTGAAAATCATCTGATTTCCAAAAGTGAATTTACATTTTAATTATTTTTTAAAAAAATATAAACATAATAGTATTACTGAGGATAATCAAGAAGAATGAGAAAGTGAGTTTGATTCTTTCATAGTTGCATTTTCATTTATTCTATATAGAAGATGGCAAAATCCACAAGAACACTCTCAATATTGAAAAGATCCAACAGGTCAGGGAGATTTAATAAAATAATTGGTATGTTTTTTCCATATGTTAATTTGGAATTTTACATTTAACCTACCTAGCATTTTTTTTTTATCATTTACAGTGTTACAAAAATAAAAATGGAAATTTTTAAATGAACAACTACTGTATTAGTTCATGTGAAAAATGGCTCATTTGATGGCTTAAAATAATATTTTTATTGATAATATTTTAATAAGAAATCCCTTCGCCATTATTTTCAATGACTAGTTCACATCTCGATCTCATAGAACGAATTAAACTAATTAGAAACGAGTTAGGAATTGCATCTCACTCCTCTCAACCATAAACTGCACCAATCCCATCAGATTTTTGGAATTCTCTTCTCCACATTCCTCTTAACAATGGCCCGCGAACTTTCTATTGGGTTTAAATCAGGACTGTTGGATGGCCAATCCATAACTTCGGGAAGTTTTCTTGAAGAAATGTTTGGGATCATTATCCTGTTGAAACCCTAGCATTCTGGCATTTAAACATAAATTCTGCATCCATGATTCTCGGAAGCAAAAAAGATCGGTCTTTTCATGGATGCAAAGTTACCCCAAGCAATAATTTTTGTATGATCTTTTGGCATTGGGTGAACAGGTCTTACATTCTTATACCATCTTTCAATCGTGTTTCGGTAAAGTTGGGAAGCTGTATCGTCTGGAAAATAGGGTTTTCTCCAACCATCATTAAGATGATTTCGTGTCCACTCTCACGACGTTCTTTATGTCTTGTTGTTAGCGTTGAGATGGCTCTTGGCAAAATTTTCCTATATCCGATCCTTCCAAATGCCCTAAAACTGTTACATATGAAATCTCTATTCCTTTATTTAATATTTTATTAGCCAAAGACCTCAAAGAAATAGGAGAATCTCTACGAATATATTTCCCGATGCTTCCGCAGTAATTTTCTTTTTTCTACTGTTACCCCTTTATGTAATGTTATGCAACTGACGAGCAGAACGTATTCTTTTGCAATTACATCGATTTGGTTAAAAGATAAAACTAAGTCTTGTTTTGATGTTTTGGTAGTTAAATTTTTTAATCAAAAACTTTCCATTTTTGTATATATTAAATTATTCAATACGTATTAGTATATTTCTTTCATATAATTATAGCATATAATAAACATTATCATAACAAATATTATTTCATCTTTTGCTAAATTTATTTTTTTATTTTTTTTTATATATGTGCGATATAAAATACAAATAGTATAACAATGACTGACTACTTATTAGATGTGAGATTGCAATATAATAATATAAAATTTTCTTTTCTTCATTAAAGTTTAGCTTTAATATTATTATTTACAGTTGTGATTTCATCATATAACAAAGTAGTGATAAAATCTGAATAATCTTTACCAGCGATCTGACTTGCCAAATATCGTTTTGCCAAAATATATTTTGTACTACCAAATTTCTGAGGACCAATCTGTCTTTCCAAATTTGTAACTTCTTCATCAAGCAATTTAAGTAAATATTCACCTGTGATAACTTTACCCTCAATAGTTCTAGCACGATGTTTAGCCCATTGCCATAACTGAGATCTTGAAATTTCAGCAGTTGCAGCATCCTCCATAAGATTATGAATAGGTACACAACCCAAGCCACGAAGCCATGATTCAATATAGATAAGACCAACTGAGATGTTGTTGCGAATACTTGCTTCAGTGATTGAACCAGGGAAATTTGTGTTAAGTAAATTCAATGCATTAACATTGACATCTTCACGCCTAATAAAAATTTGATTTGGTGTTTTCAAATG